CCCCAAAACCCCAAAACCCCAAAACCCCATTATTAACCAGCTTGATTGAATATGTCAGAAAAGTTCATTGTTGGTGGAGAGTGGGTGTTTCAGGTTTGAAAACTTGGAGAGAAGTCCGATTTATATTTGAATGGATAAGAATTAACTTTGTATATCTATCAGCATTTAAACCGATGTTTCATAATCATTAGTTACTTCTTTTTGTTCAAATAATTAGTGAGCACAATGGTAGCTAACCAGTTACAAAAACTCTACAAAATATAAGCCTTCACCTCTAAGACTTGAAAAATGGCATGCCTAATTTTGTAATCTGAAAATTATGCTGATTAATTTATTTGCAAAGAATTTAGCGATTCTGTGAGGTTTAAATTTGCAGTTGCTCATTTTTTGGAAATATTATTGACCATCCTTATCTTCAAATTAGAAAATGAGTTATTAAATCGTATCCTTTTTATGTCTGCCAATTTTGATTCAACAAAAAGTGGATAGCAAAAAATACTATCAATTTTTGAGAAATCATTTAAAAATAATATTTTAGTGTCACCTAGTTCCTCCTATTTAACTTTCTCGTTTGTCTGAACTGCATTTGGATTCTTATATACAAAATTAGAATTTTTCGATCTAATTTTCTTGGTCGTGCTTGTTTGGATAAACATGTTAAAAATATGGTGAGACATCATGATGTCCTTGTAATAGCCAATTGCCACTAAATTTATTTCAAAATATGCATAAAAACTTAAATAACAAGAAGTTCGGAAACAGATGAAAATTTGAATTTATTCAAAAAAAACAAATAGTTGGGCATCTCTTCAATTCTATTCAGAAATGCCTTATTAATTATTAAAAGTTTAATAGTGTTCAATAAATACAGTTTCAGATTCTTTGTAGTCTCAGAAATCACAAAAGATAGTCATTAAGCTTCAATAATATAACATTTTATTGTTTGCCTACAAGCCATTAGATTTCACTGTGATAATCTTTCGAACAAGTTATTAGGCAAAGAAATGCATATCCTGGACATCAATAAAAGAAACTGGCGAATCGGTTCTAATTCTTACTCTTATCTGATTTCTTGATTATTCGTTGTCTTTAGTATAGGACTTTAACCTAATAGGTACTCAAAATATGCATCAAACCTTACAGCAAGAGCAAGTTATTGAGAACCTTGATAAGTTCTTTTCAGAACAATTCTTAATTTTTCATACATTTTTTTATATTTTACCCAAATTTTTGAAAATTTGAACTGATATTCGATTAACCATATAGCTAAGGACTTGGTTTTTGTGTGCAAATTTATAGAAAAATCATAAATATTACAATGGGCCACATCTGTAACTGTCTAGGTTTAGGGAGAACACCTGTCTTTGTATTTATAATTAATGGTTGAACTTTGCTTGTGAAATATTTAATTTTTGAAAATTAATAAGCAAATCAAAGAAGAGAGATTTCTTGCTCTCCTCAGAAGCAAGATGGACATAAAATGAGAACTCAACTCTTCTTAATATTTTCCATCACCAAATAATAATGGTGAAAAGGGATATAATTATAAAGCAATGAGCAAACAAATGACTTATTTTCTAAAATTAAATTTGAGCTCAAAAATGGTTTGATCGGTTTCATAGAAATTTTAATCTAACAAATAGACTCACAGAGATGGCCTACCTCAAATATTTTGGAGTATAAGGACACTTAGTAATTAATTCTATGCGAGGTTTGAACAGATGCTCCTCTTGAGTCGATAGGAAAAAGGTGAAGGTGCAACTCCCATTGAAGTACTCCTTTAAATATTTCTAACTGACATTTTGCTTCATTAGATAGGGCTTTTGCAGAAATTGTGCAAAATTAGAGGTCAAAATAGACTATCTCTAGATAGGAGGACTTATACTCTATCTCTTCCAAAAATTAAAAATTTTGGAAATCTGAAGCAACTTTTAAACCTAGTGACCAATAAACCAAAGAGTTTTTAGCCCAAAAGTTATTATTAGCATAATTAAATTAATACGGTTTTTGAAGAGAGCTTCAGTCTTTAGTTTGTGGTGTCTTTTTCTCTTCTTTGATATAATTTTGCCTCCTTTGTACTAAACTCGAGCCTCAAAGTCAGAATGTCTATAATGAGCATAATTAAAACCAGCCCAGAATATTCAAAAAGTTGTACATGCAACGAGGGAAATACATGCTCTTGAGTGCTTACCTTTGAAAAGTAGAAGCTTTCTGTCTCAAAACCTGAGGCGAAAAGAATCTTCCGTTGACAAGCTTTTTGAACCTTAACTTTTCATTTACATGATGGATTATCATATTATGAACATCAGTGATTTGCTTGCTCTCGTGGTCATACATCTGAAGGGTTTCTTGGTCATACTTTCTTACTGACAAGACTCTTCTTCTATTCTTCTTTCAGACACCTCCTTTGGTATTTCTGATGGTCCTTCTGCCTCTTTTTGAGGAGATCATGCTCTTTATCGTCGCCTTCATGTCACTTATATTCATAGTCTATTTGTTAACAATTAGGAAAAATTTCGAGTGGAAAAACCAGAATATTTCATCTATTTTTTTGAATGTTCGCATACCCCAAATTTAGAAAAATCCAATTTTGTCCTTTGTCATTTTTTCCTCAACAAGTTGAACTTTTGTGGGATCTTTTCTTTGAAGAGGTGTGATAAACCATTATCAGAGAGTTTTGCAGACCTTGTTAGCAAAACTCGAGGTAATTTAGATGAAATCTTGGTTTTCAGAGGATTCTTCGTTTTCCTTACTCCTCTTACAGCTCCTTTGTTGCATGGGCTCATAACTCTTCGAGTCACTCTTTCTATCGAAGTGATTTTTTGTTTTGGCAATTGCTTTATCTCCATTTTTGAATGTTTATTAACAACATAGGTCAACTTAATTTATAGTCCAGGGGTTTTGGGGTTTTGGGGTTTTGGGGTTTTGGGG